CAGATACTGATAATGTTCAACTTTTTGGCTGAGTGGATCCTCTTTAAAATAACATTTGTATGTGTAGGTTGAGGCAACTTTCCTGAGGGCTGTAAATGAAAATGTTGAAGTAGAGCATGTAATCTTAGAAGTGAACTCTCTGCGGTATGTGATATCTTCTAATTGGTCTTAGCCTCTGCTCTAATTTTTTAAAGAGTTCTACAAAGTTGACTGTATCAAAACATAGCATCTGCATGGTTTTTCATTGAATTATTTGTCAAACTACCTCTTTTCCTCGGAATCTAAGAATATTTATTATTTATTGAAACTATTGCCCATTTCTTTTTTTAATGTTCCTTCCTGTTCCAAAGAATTGTTGCGAGCCTGTGTCGTCATTTGTGTGCAGATGCTTATTTGATCAGTTTCTTTGAACGTATTTCATGTTTTGCTTGCTTGTTTGTCTTATCAGGTTGTCATACAATATGCAATCCGCAGACTGTGCTGGTGCTATATTTCACTCCATGATGAAATTGGCTTTGGATACTACGCATAGTTCACGTAGTAAGTTTTGTCTACAGCAACCCTTAATTTTCTTGCTACTTAGTCTATGCAGCTTTGGGGCAGTAGCGACAAATCAATTCAAGTGGACATTTGTAAAATAGAATAAGAGTGAGTATAGGGTTGTGTGTGACTATTACCTCTTGACAACTTTTTATCTTTTTGATTGTACCCGAGTTCGGTTACAATGTCTATATTTGGGTATTCAGCATGGCTACAAAATATTTAGGCGCCAAAGTAAGAACAAATTAATTTAGCCGGTTGGAAACTGAAACAGAAACGATGCAGGTGATTTTGAAGCAGAATACCCAACTCTGGCAAATGGAATAGCTATAGACAACATCTTATGGAAGCTTTTAATTGAACTTAATGGAAAAGAAACTCGGAGGTTCTATTACCTTGTATATAGATTATTGCTCACACTGGTTTTTGCAAAGATATTTTTGGGGCAAGGGTCCATAAATTACAGTGAGTCGACCTTTAATCAGTTGTTTTGTCTCATATGCTAATATGCAGTCTCAATTTCTATGGTCCAGTTGGCCAGATTTTATGCTTGTTAAAGTGATATGTTCTTTTAATTACCTGTCATTTTTAGCGCCACTGCTTTCTTGTTGACCTTACAAATTTTAAGCACTATTGCTCATTCATTATTACAGTCACAAACAGCAGTAATGTGCTCATTTGCTTTCATATTTCGACCATTGACCAGTTCTTTCTCCTCCTTCATAAATTCCAGCAATGTTTTTTACTTGTAAATCAAAGTACTTATTATTTCTAAAGGTGGACTTAATGTTTTCCCGCTGCAAGTGCTTTTGATATTGATGCTTCAAAAGATCTCCCCTTGAAAGCTGTTAGTTTTAGTTTGTGTACACTTTAAAAGATTCACGTGTATGAGTTGCACTGATGTAGTCCTTTGCTTTTTACCGCATCCCTTTTCTTTTGTACTATTTATTTTTACAAGTTATGATAACCTCACCATTGTTTGTAGATAAATTTGGGCATGGTGAATCTTTTTTTGGATCTTTGAATGATTTTATCACTGATAATCCTCTTCATGCAAAATGAAAGAAAAAGATAATCTTGAAATCGCAATCTCAAGGAAGCTTCTGTTGCCACGAAATGTGAGGATTGCTGCTATCTTAATGCACGAGTCTGTTTGAATAGTTAGATTTAAGGACACAGGAGGGTGTGATTAGCAATGACATAGTACCTACATAGAAGAGGAAAAGTTTTGAACGTTTTTCCCTGGAGCGCAAGTTTTCATAAAATCTTTGACGGTCTGGAGCACAAGTTTTCATATTTGTCAGTTTAATGCCATGGCCTTTTCTTCTTAAAGATGGGTTTCTCCATGCATGTGCTCCTAACGACAACAGTTCTGCATTTTGGATGTATGTTCTATATCTATTTCATGGGCTTCTACCTTGCCATAGGCATGATTTGGTGCCGTTCATGGATTTTTTGGGACCTATAGATAATATAATTTTTTCTTTACATCTGTATAGAACAACTAATACTAATACAAGTTTCTTTCTTCAGATGAGTTGTTGCATAACGTGCATAATATGGTCAACACTTGGCAAAAACTTTTGAAGTCCTATCTTGCAGGCAAAGACGAGGAGGTTTGTATATGTTGACATTTGGTCAAAAATTCATTTCTCCGGTGTTGATAATTTCATATTCTTCTTGCACATTTTAGGAAGTCTCTGAAAAGCTGCTCACGGTTCTCCGGTGTTTGTCTGCCATGTGCTTTTAAAATTTCATTGGTGTTCATACCCACTAAACTACTAAGGAGGAAAGCCTCACATGCCATGATTTTTAGGCGTAATGTGATATTGTCATTTGCAAATGGATTTCTGAGCTTGGATAGTAGTCTTTATGATTTAAATGTTCAATGATGGTGACTGTTATAAGTTATACATTTCTGAGTGCCTGTGGTAAATGCTTCATGAAAGTGTATACATGTCCTCCATAACGAAGTCTTGATGCCACAGATTGAAGTGATACTGAAGTTTGAAGAGATATGTCTGGAATCTGCGAGCGAGCTATCTCCATTGTTTACACAGGTTATTTTTCTTCATTTCCCATTGCTTTCATCTTGAAGGAACTGGTAGGTTTTGAAGCAGGAAAAGAAAATTCTTTTCCGTCAGCTTATAGAAATTGGTTGTGTTGGTCATGATCTTGACTGGCAGGTGATTTGTCGCTGATTCACCTTACCCTGTTGATTAGTTCCTACGCTCGAGCTTTCTTTGAGCATTTGTACTAGGATAGTAGCTTGGAAAGAGATCGCTTGCTTTTTCGTTACTTTCCCAGAACCAGCTATCGCTGGCTTTTAAATGCTTTTGTCATTATCTCAATTTTGAATTTGTTATTTCCATCATTTTGTAACTTGACCTCTTCTTCTCGAGCTAAGTAAATTGCCAGCTATCTTTTCAGCTGATCTAACAGCTACTGCATTGTTATACAGATTTTGCACCTTCTGTATGACAAGGACATCATAACAGAAGAGGCTATTGAAGATTGGGAATCTGAGAAGAAAGATGCTGATGAAGCCGACAGAGTCTTTGTTAAGCAAGCTGAGATATTCCTTCAAGTATGTATTAGCATTTATTTTTCACTCAATATATTTGGTGCTTCTTCCATTTGCATTTCTTTTCCAGCGCTCTAGTTGTTAATGCTGTAATAGCTAGAACTGCCCGCTTCACAAGCAATCTTGTAAGTGTTGAATTTATGGAAGATAATCTTGGGCAGTGGTTTTCACTTTTGAAAAATTGACTGGTAGTGTAGCTGAGTCTGAAGTCTTGATTCTCCCTTAGACTGCCAGCAACTTCATTGGTTCCTGTCATTATGAAGTTTGATTTTGGGAATTGCACTTTGGCTTGATATAATCATTCCTTTCTTGCGTTTGTAGTAACCTACTAACCTGTTGAAAGGATAAAGTGATGACATTTCCTATTAATTAAAAGTCAGAGAGATTCTTGTTAAAATTTCCATTGAGTCTGTGTGAAGTTGCATAGTTTTGGGTACTGGCATTACTAGACAATATGCCACTTGATGGAGTTGAAGGCATTAGATAGCACCATCAAATATTTGGGTCCTGAGCAATCCATATTATACCAAGTCTAATGAATCCACTACAACTGCAAGTATGTCAAACAACAGAGGTGTTTTCAGAAGTTTAAGGTTTCATCTCAAATTCTGTAGCATAATGAACGAAAGCAGTAAAGGATTCATTGTGAAGAAAGTGTGGTGATCCATAGGGCTCAAATTTTCATGTCATTGTACTTCTCGATGTTCCTTTTGAGGAAGTCTAATGTAATTCTTGTATGCCTTGAGAGAGAAATTTCAGCGGCATGCTTTTGTTATAATCGTTTTATGAAACATTTGTTTCATGGTACTGCACTCATAATAATTGCAAGTTCTTTTTGTTGGTGCAGTGGTTGAGAGAGGCATCTGAAGAGGACGATGAAGAGGACGACGAATGATGCAGAACATCAACCGAAGATTTAGCCTTTCGCGTGGGCACTGAACGATGGAAACATTAAATCCGTGTAAAATATTCCAGGATAACAAATTTTGGGAGGGTAAAATGGGTTTCATCTGAACTCTTCGCATTTGATGTACTAATGTATTCACTAAGGCTGCGTTTGGTCGACCGGATAAAAGCCAGGATAGGATATGTTTTATCCTATCCTGTGTTTGGTGGTGGTCCAGGATAGGATAAGGTCGGATATAGACCGGATAAAAAAATCCGAGGGGGGAGGGTGGGATAGACCTGGATAGGATTTCTAATGTCTATTTTTCCAAAAACCCTACGCTCCACTCGCCGTCATCTTCATCCCCACGCCTTGTGCGCTTTCACCAAAAAAATTTCTCGGCTTTTTTTCCTTCACCGATTCCTCCGGACCCGTGAATAGCAAAAAAAAAAAAAAATTTATCCTATCCGACTTTAAATTCGTAGTTCACCAAACAGTAGATAGGATATGAAGAAATACCAGGATTTCTTATCCTATCCTATCCAGTCCTATCCTATTTAGAAATCCGGACGACCAAACGCAGCCTAAGGTTATATAGTTGATTTTTGAAAGACGAGGATTGAGAACTGCAAAGACATGATTCTAGGTGTCTAATGCAGCAAATAGGTTTTGAGAACGAGCATTCTTTTTGATATATCATGCCGTTCTTTGGCAACATTTGTGGCTCTGATTTATCCTTGAATAGGAATTATCAATGCTTGCTTGCGACTGTACTTTCCTTTTCTCTATGAAAGACTGTGGATATAAGTATGCATAAACCTTTCGCCACCTTCTGAAACTTGAACGATAACATAATTATACCGAGTGGCCAAATAAGGTTCCACTCAGGTTTGGCACCATAGTTGACACCATCCAAAGCATTTCCTGCCAGACCTTGCGTTAGCAGGTCATTAGCCAAGATATATTGAACAAACATTGTGGTATATGTACTGGAAGGAAGTGCAATGGCAATTGGGAATTTCACAGCGACAAGAATTCTACATCAAACATATAGAAGTACATGTCTGTACATCGGTTGTCAAGTACAAGATTTATACTGCAGGCTCATCAGAAGCGCGGAGGTCCACCGGGAGGGCCTGGGGGGCCGCCGAATGGCCCATGAGGCCCGCCGTGAGGGCCGCCAAACGGACCGCGCGGACCACCTGGAGGACCTGGCGGACCACCAAAAGGGCCCGGAGGCCCTGGTCGGCCACCGAACACCGGCCCGCAGCAGCTCTCGAAGATACAGCAGCAGCAGAGGACATAAAAACTGGCAATAACACCATGAATATGTTAGAACGTTGTGGAAGGCAAGCAGAAGTAAAAGAGGCCTCTGTCTTACAAAACAAAATAGAGCTCAAGTGGTATAATACCAAAAATCTCAGCTAGGCAGCAAATTGTGCAAGGAAGAGGAGACCCCCTTTACTCTTGCTTGCACTGTCATTGGGCATTTCTGTTTGTGTGTGATGTCATGCAACAAATTGTGTTCCAACGTTGACTTGGCAGTGCTAAACTGAGGTTCCTATAATTTCAGAACTTAGTGCAGAGTGTTCCGCATGCCTGCGTATGATACTTCAACCAAACTCTAGAGATGCAAACTCACCACGAAGATATCGCCCGGCAGATTCCTTCGCAGCAAAAGCACAAGCAACCACACGGCCCCGGCGGCCCGGGAGGCCCTCCTGGCGGCGGTCCCCAGCCCGGCATCTGTGCGAGTCTCGCGGATATCACAGTCCGAGCTAATTGAAGCCGAACCAGAGGTGGTGGAATTGGAGCTCTCTCTGTGTAAATGGGATGGTAAGGATGTAGAGAGAAAGAAAGGCAAAAGCAAAGATGTGGATGATTAATTAAGCAGCAGCCAGCACACTACACTAGGCACTAGAAGGCATCATGGACCAGCAAGTGAGAGAGCGACATGTGCTTGCCCGGTGGGGTTAAACTCGATAAATAATTGATTGAGAACCATGTGATGTTGCTAAACCAAACCCAACCTAATCTTCAAAGATTGGACTTACGTGCTTAGTTTGTGCACATTCTGCCATCACAGGATCGCCATGGACTCCTCTCTGGACCCCTCGCCAGTCAAATTACTGCGTGATGCATCGCCCTCTGAATCAACAAACCCTTCTTGAATTCTCTCTCTCATGATGTGATGGCTTGAGGGTGGAAAGGGAAATCAAGAGGTCAAGAAAGGGTACCTCCATCCAGTTTTAACAGCACCGGAAAACAATGGGCAACCGTGAGTAGAAGTACTAATGACCACCAAATACAATGGACGGTCTATTCATGTGGTAGTTACGATGTCGAAACCTAACGCGAGGTCGTGCCGGAGAAGTGAGAGCGATGGCGGTTATGATTTTTCTTTCCGCGAGTTTATTAGGTTTTTCATTTCCAGTCCATTACGATTCGGGGCAATATCAAACCAAAACACTAAAGATCCTATCCTATTCTCAATCCGTTTGGGAATTTCATTCCCAAGGGGTTTGGGCTCTAAAGTCCTCTGGACAAATGCAAATATCATTTGGCAATTTTTTTTGAAGAGTTTTGAGAAAATGCAATTGCATTTCTAAAAGCTTTTAGCCAGGGCGGGTCCAGAGTTGTTTTGAACTTTTCCGAAATGCAAATGCATTTTTTTCAACTTTGCCCTCTCTAAAAATTTTATAGTTTTTGAAATGTCCATACCTCACGCTATATCACTAGTGAGGCCAAATCTAGCTATAGGCAAGCCAATATGGTGCCGGCTAGCCGCACTAGGTGGCTTGAGGTCCCGTGACCTTAGGAGAACCTTAGGCGACCATCGCTTGGGTCACACAACCTTGACGACCTCGGGTGAGATTGCTGACGCCAGATTTGGCTCGTTGGCAGCTAAATTTGGCATTGCCGACCGCCCATCAACTATTGAGTCCTTTGCTGATTTTCAGTTTTTTTTTTATGTAAAAAATGCAAAAGTGCTTTACAGAGTGTGATATTTCCAAACACTATTTTTCAATGCACTTTTAAATTATAATTCACCAAATATTACCGGAATTTCGAGAAAACCCTTTGAACCTCAAGGCCTCAGCATTTTTCCAAAGATTTTTCCCAAAAGCCAAATCAAACGTTGTCTTTATCATATCACTAAGCAAAACAACGGTGGCTTTGAGTACAAGCGTCTAGTCAATGCCCAGCATCGAGTTCCACCATGAAAACTCTAATTCTCTTGTAATTGGGTCCATGGCCATTGATTGTGATGTGAGACATTTCGTCTTATCCGACATATATATAATTGTTTGGGAATATCAACAAGGTTACTATTTGGTACATGGAATTTATGGAAAGAAGAATGAAGATGAGGAGGAGAAACGAGACAATCCGAGATTAAAAATCCGAATCCAACACGACACGAACATTCCATTCATTCAAAAACCGACGAGACTTGAATTATTTCTAACCCCATCTTTAGACATTGGATCAAATTCGAACAAGTTGAGAATGACAATCTCTGCTCTTAGAAATGTCCACAATTCGACCACCACAAAAAAAAAAAGAAAAGAAAGATATCTACGAGGCCCAGTTTCGTTTCGGCCCACTTCGTTGGGCCTCGAAATGCCGCAGGCCCATAGCTTGTGGCCCGATCGTCGTCCCCGGCGAGACGGACCAGTAAAGCGTCGAGAAACCAGTGAAAATGGCTGGGTTGAATGCATGTGGTCGGAGGTCGGAGGGTTTATGTGAGGTCTAAGGATGGGGCTGACCAACTTCATACTCACGGTGGCCGGCGTGAGCGCCGTCATCTTGCTGGTGAGGACCGACGTGAAGCAGTCGGCGGCGATCTTCCGGCGCAACCTCAAGCAGATACGGAGCTGGGTGGAGGAAGAATCGGCCGCTGCTTCAAGGTTAGGTTTTTTTCCTTCTTGCCCTTTTTGGGGTAACGGGTTATTGGGGAAATTCGTACGTGATTCGAGCTTTTACAGTTGAAGTGGAGGGGAGTTGCAATGGCATATAGGCTGAGTTCTTAGCTGAATCTCTAAAGATTTGGTTTTGACGGAGGGGGTTTGTGGACTGGTGTGAGGTCGTTTTAGCAAGTTGGGGGGGGCCTAGAGATGATGCGATTGCGGTGCGGGTTGTTGTTACCGGAGACGAAGAGTCGTGGTTTGTTGGAGGAATCTGCTGGATAGTTTTGTTGGGGCTGCTTCTTGTTTCGATGGTGGGCTGTGGAAGTGATTGTAGCCGCTTTCTCGCAGTTCGGGTAGGTGGGTGGGTGGGTGCTGCCCGCCTTCTGTCGCTGTTGTGCACTCCGGATGTAATTCGTGGTGATAGCAGGCGAATCGGATGCACAGCAGCAATAGGTGGTGGATAGTACTCAGTACAGTCTGCAATGGCGATTGTTGAAATGGCGGCCGTGACCGCTCATATGTCTTCCCATTTGGATCTTAGATAGACATTACTACCTAGAGCAGCCAACAGCTGAGTAATTTGAGTTTATGCTATTCAAATGAAATCTCATTAGAGATGCTGATCAAAACATTATCGTTGGTTTTGCATGTCCAGCTACTCCATTTGTACTCGGCCACATTTTCGTTGACTACAACTACCATAATTTGTTGAATGTTCACTCAGTATTAGAGTTGAAGATTGAAGTCTTGAAGTTTGAGAACCTATTCTGCTTGGAAAGTCATTTGACGTTTTGCTCTGCATTTTCCTGACTGCCAGGCATGTATGTTCACTTGTTTGTGATGAGAGTCGTAGTTCACTTGACAGTGCTATATTCTTATTATTTTGCATTGAAACTTCACTATAATAAAATACGTAAAGGGCCCGGTAATTTTTTATCCTGTCCATCACCTGTTGATTATTGTTAATGTCAACATGTTTTTTCATATTTGATCTTTTTTCTTGTGAGTGGAGGCTGATGGGATACTCAGATATTGTATACTGAAACTTGTGTTTGGGGAAGTCTTTTCTTTTTCGATTGGATTTCTTGTGAGTGGAGGCTGATGGGATACTCAGATATTGTATACTGAAACTTGTGTTTGGGGAAGTCTTTTCTTTTTCGATTGGATTACTTGATGAATTATTTTGTTGAAATGAGGATTCTAATATTTTTATCTTTTCCATATTTGCCCAGATAAGACTGCTTTTCCTGATTCGAATAATTCTTTCTTCCTTCCTCTGTTGGCATGCTTTGTCCTCCATATGTTTGAAAATCTACAACAATTGATACAGAGAGAGCATTACTAACTTGAAGCAGTTTGTCGGTTATCGACCAATTATGCTGGTGTAAATATTCTGATGGTATTTCTCCTTCTCACAGGGAGGTTGAGAAGGGAGCCAAGGAACTGGAATCAAAAGTCTCCAAGAAGGATGTCCCCAAGGAGGACAAGCATTAGTTGGTGCATGTGGTCTTGGAGTTGCATATGATATGAGAGTTACATTATTGCCATTTTGTTTAATAACTCTACTGTTCATCATGAATAATCCTGGGTAGAGAATGAATAGTCATTGTTCCTTTCCTTTGGATCTACACAGGACAAAAAGGAAATATCAATCTGGTAAAGTTTAGAATTTTGGTTTGCAGTGGATCTAGCTAGAGTTATGGTAACCAACGACGGAAGCTCCTCGTTTGACCTTTGTTTTCACCATTTGTAACAAGCTGTTTATAAGTTTTGCTGTCCCACTCTTTGCTGTTCTCAACAAATGATTTCTCTGATACATGTGATTGTAGATACTTGCGATTAATTATTGATGGTTGATTTGTTTCATTTTTGCCTCAACTTAAAAGCGATTAAACATGTGTGAAGGTCGATGTGCGCCGCTGTGGAGATAGGAGTGTTTGAAGCAACTTCTAGGTGGTAATGAAGAAGATGATGGTGGTGGAAGTGTAGGGGGAGGGTAGGGTTCATTACTACTCGTTGCAAGTGCCTGTGTTCCGTGCGCTCCAAGGCGTTAACCCGAATCACATTCCTGATTCAGTGGCGAGGATTCGGTTTCATATAATACGAAAGCTTCGCCAATCTCCAATGCTTCTGCGCGTACAAGAGAAACTTGGTAAATGCATTCCGGCACGACTATCAGTAACCTAAAGACTGGTTATATGTTATTCTCGGTATTATTGGCTCAAAGCAAAGATGCCGATGTTGTCGATCATCAGATGATGACATTATACTTGCTAGCCTAATCTCTACATATACTTGCTAAGTTATTGTGCTTCTTTTGGCCTTTTGGGAGAATTTGCAAGTTAATTACAAGAAAGTAGAGGGGCATTATACGGAAGAAACGGAGATACTAGTCAGGAGCGTTCGAATAAATTGTGGTGAAGTAAGATCGGTGAAGTAAGATCAAGCTTATGAGCTTATTCTCCTAGGTCAGAGCAACTTTTTTCTTTTTTTGGTCGATGGTCAGAACAAGTTGATAGGATCTCTTTTTGATGTCCCCATGCCTCTCCCGTCTGGCGACATCGGAGGGAAAAAGGGAAAGAGGGGGATGTGGTCTCTCTCGCTTTTTACATAGGAGGGCCTTCTCCTGTTCATCGACTCGAACCTCATTCTTCTGCAGTTGATGTAACGGATCAGCCTGTTAGCAATGCAAGCTTCGTATTCGGCATTGTTCGTACGTACATGGGAAACTTCACTTGAAGGCCAATGGGATTCTGGTCATTGAGGATCGAAAATATGAATCAAAGCAAAACAAACAGGTTCACTTAGTATCAGGTCAAGTCCAGTTCTGGTGAAGCTTTCGAGTATGGATTTTTAGTTCTGCTCAGGTCATTCCGAACCGAAATGAATTATGTTATTTCCGATATATCTCATCGGGCCTAAACTCGATTAACTAATAGCAAATACATTTCTAACTCATTATAGGTTGAATTTAATTCCGTGGTTGGTCCATGTCTTTTGCACAAAATTGAACTGGTTTGGTCCATTGACAACCTCCCCGGTGGGAAATCTCTTAGTGTCGTGTTTTTGATGATCCTCAGCATCTGATGCTCAAGAACCCCGCATGGCATGTCGGGTGGACTCGTCGGAACTCAAATACTGCGGCATACAAAACTCGTGAAACAGGCTCTTAGAATTGCTGTTAGGCACTGTTAATTTGCATGCTCCTCCGCCTCAGTATTGAGACAGTTCTAAGTTTCGAAGCCGGGTGATATTATGCCAATAAAAAGAAAAAAATGAACCTCTAGACATGCACCATGAATTGACATAGAGCAGCCGCAAGCCTTTTAACTCGTTGCGGGAATATTTCGTAGCGGGTATCGAAATCTCATTGTAACACAGAGAGAATTAGCCACGCCTATCGTCTTTTCCGCTGGTTTCCCACAAGAATAAAAGGGAAACACTTATTACAGGAACATAAGATGATACAAGAAACATAGACCAAACACCCGCAGCGTTTAGACATGGTATCCTAATGAATGGGACAGCCGGGAATTTAAGGCGGTGGCTGTCCGAACCCAGGTCCCGGCGGCCCCGGCGGTCCTCCTGGACCACCAAAGCAATCTTGCAGCAACCAGCAGCAGCATAGAAAATTCAAGCTGTCAAGTGACAAGTAATATAGATTAGCAGAATGGATCGTCCATAAAGAACTTCCCACCTTAGCGACCAAAAGAGAAGGATTGATGAAATGGATGGAATCGCTCAATGCACGTGCCAGAACTATAGCCATAAGCAAAAGTTGATAGTATTGCTAACCCCTTTGATCCTATTCATTAAGCAACACCGTGCTTTGACAAATCATGAGCTAAACATATTCATCTCGCGGCGATTATAATACGATGTAAATCCAAAATGGTAATGCAATGCGGGTGCATATGCATCGACCTATGTAGCGAAACGAACTCACCAAGAACCTATAACGTCGCAAAAGCCACCAAAGAAACCAGGCGGCCCCAGCGGCGGAGGCCCCCCCCAACCCGGCGGTCCTCCAGGTCCTCCCGGTCCTCCCGGTCCTCCTGGTCCCATAAGCTTCCCCCCTCTCTCGCTTCACTTCACAGCCACACACCTCCAACTAGAGAAAAAAATTCAGACTGATCTTCTCTCGAATCCTCTTGATATTATTGAATAGGTGGCAGAAGTAGTGGGAAGCGCCAGAGAAGGTTTTGAGGGGTTTATAAAGAGAGTATGGGGCTTTGCTAGAAGCCTCTTTTAGCTACCCAAATGCAGAGAGGGCCCCCGTATTAACTCCCCTTCCCGCTCACCTGCTGTTCTTCAAACCTACCATTCAGAAGGCTTGCACCATCCATCCATCCATCCGTCCATCCATCACCTAATCTTAAAGACCAAATTGCATTTCTTTATGGTCTCCTATCCGAGTCTCATCTTTTCTTACGACTTCAGCTCACTACGTGTCTCTGCTTGGATGGTTCTCGCATGTCGACGATCGCCCTGGGCTGCACGGAAGTTCGAGACGGTATTGTTTATGCGTGATAGTGATGCTCGGAGACTGCACTTTGCTTGCTTCCCCTGTAAGGAAGCTCTTCCCCTAGATGCAAGAGTAAATAAAATAGATAAGCAGGAAACAGTTGTCTCCTCGAAACAACAAGGAGAAAAAGAAACTCATCCAAATTCAAAGTTGAGTCGGACTTTGCTGCTGCCCATTTCATCCATAGAAAAGCCATCTAGTTCATATTAGCAATTGAAATATGAGATGTTGACATGTGAATCCGGTCCCTTGTCTTGGAAGTAGAGAGGAAAACAATCAACCGAGTCCAATTCCAACCAAGTTACCAAAGTATCATCTGGGCCCTCAATGGTTTTCATCCAAATTGTGCACTCGACATCGCAAATTTAAGCAAGCTCTAGTATTTCGGCTCCTTGCATTCATAAGGTTTGTCTCCTAATTAATATCAATACCCATGAAACTTGGATCCTTTTCTGGTCGTAAAATCTTCGAATTTCAAGCAAAGAAACAATGAATTTAAGTTCACTGAACAAAACAACAATTGTAGCATCTTATTGAACTGAGGGGCAAAATAGGGGAAATAAAAAGAGGACAAAGATATATGGTAACTATCAATGTATCATGTCAATTACCCATCATATTTCTGGGTGTCAGGACTGTTCATAACTATCCTGGACAAAAAGCCGCAAGAGCTACGGCTAGCTATGTAAGCTCGAGACTGAAAACCTTCTACAGACTCCAGAATCCGACAGCCAATTCATTTCAATCCAAGACCAAAGAATACATTAATAAACTCAACACCACACGGATATCTACGAGCTCAAGACGGGATTTTGTACGAACTCGCGTTATGCAAAACCTGAACACACCGACCAAGACCGACAAACTGTCTAGAATTTTGGTGAGAGAGATTGAAAAGGCCTCTTCTCACCCGCTTCTAGTAAGATGTGGATGCATCTCATAAGTCAACTTCATATCTGTACAAAAGAATTTGCCTCGACAGAAAGATATAGCTCACAAAATTGCTGCCAATCCCAGAGTATCCCCTTCCTCAACCCCTGATCCTGGAGCACTGACTGAGCTGCGAGGCCGACCTGAAGATAGAAGAACAGAATGCTTTAGTACAATAGAGATTCCATATCTTGGTACATTGGTTGGTCAAGAAACCAAACTTCCTGCAAACAGCAGTGGAAGAACAGTATATGTGTTCTTACACAAACATTAGACAAAGGAAGATCAAGCTGAAGATCCAAATCTTGTATTCTTGGTCTTCAACATAACGAGTTTTGATTTAGTTGCATTGAAGTAGTGAGAGTTATTCGTAGTCGCAATCTGTAATGAAGAGTGCTTGCTTTCAATGCAAGGTCTCAACTTTTAATTTCATGACAGGCCCAGAGTAAGTGAATTATGTGGTCTGGCCCAGTTAAATCAGTAGCCCAATTAAGACCTAGTTGACTTTATCTTTTCCCATGAAACGAAAATGCTAAACCATTCATTGTCCTGATAGTTAATTCTGGTATCATTTTCCTTATAAGTAATTCTGGAAGTTCTCACCTGACATGTTCGTGATAACATTGACACTCTTTTGAGCAGCAAGCGCTTTTAACTTATTTCCTGCAGCCGACAAAAGCAGACTCTTCATATGCTGCTTCTGTTCCTTTGGGCTAGAGGTCTTTGTCAATGCTTCTTCAAAAGCTCGAAGATCTTGGGGTGTAATAGCAGGGAGGGAAAGCAGAACCTGGGTATTTGCAGAAAGTGGGCTAGTATTTAGCAATCCATTCAGTTACATCTGGTATCAACTGCTAAAATTAGTATGATTACCGATTAAGTATGGTCCCTTACCTGCCTGGGAGCTGGGTCTCTATCACAAAGATAGACAAATATTTCACGACAGAGGCCAACCAAATCAGCACTGATGATGGCATTTGATTCTAAAGTCAAACCGTGAATTACGGCAGAAAATAAATCACTAGCGACAAATTGACGAAGTTCCACGTTATTGGTTGATATAGCTAGAAGAATTACAGTAGCACAAAAAGAAGAAACTTTGGTCACCGCATCGCCATCTGTCCATGTGAAAACTTCTAAACACATCTGTAATACAGGAAGAGCCAGACCTTTGCGCTTCATAAGGAAACTGTAAATGGATTAGAAGAGAGAAAAAGTATCAAATATGAGCATACTCCGATTCATGAAAGAACAAGGAAAAAGAAAAATCTGCTCATCAGCAATACCTAACCATAGAGCTTTGTGAGTAGATGTCCAACTCTTGCAGAGAAGATATGTCGATGCGGTTGGCATGCCCTGACTGTTCGAGTGAAGGAAGCCCTGTATTTAATGCTGGGGAAGCTATCACATAGAGGAGTGCACATATTTCACGAGTTAAATCTCGAAGTAACTTCTCCTCCATCACCTCAACTTTCAAATCTGAACTAGCAACCACGCCAGTAGTATCTGGAACCTTTGCTCTACCTTCATGCAGCAGACTGGACCATGAGCTGCTAAGAGCTTGTTGAGAGCGGAGGAACAATGGTTGGAGGAGTGTCTCTAGCCAGGCTTCCCACAAGTCTACTGGACAAGATTTAATCAATGGAACTACAACTAAATGAACAAGCTGCCTTATATGCCGGAATTCCATGGATTGGATATTTTCCATCAGTGCTACAGCGACAGATTGAATGTCCAAACATTTGAAAAATGCATCACCTACAGTAGTTGATAAGCCTAGCACATTATACCTGAAAAATTGAAACAGTGGTCTGAACCTTGAAAAAGGAAGTTCTCATGGAAGATAAAAGTAAAAGCAATCCGTTAGAAAACATAACCAAGCATCTTTGAAGCAAGCTACTGTGAGTTTCCTGCCTTGAAACTCATGAGGAAACACTCGTCTTATGTACTAATCTAGGTGACTAGGTTTGAAAAGATAATAGGAAACTAGAGGAAACTTCCAACATTCGCCATAAAAAAAGTCGAAAAATTGTGAAACTTTTAAAATGGCCCATATTTATTAAGAGATAAAACAAAGTATAATTAACTAGATGCCTCATTTCACCGATGCTAATACTTTTTCACCCAACATTATTCTAAACAGATTATAGTTCAATAAAATCACATCTTCACGAAAAATTGTTTCCAACACCCTGCCTCGAGTGTTACCAATAAAAATTAACATCCTGCTTTAATTTGTTCATAAGCCCAAAAGATTTAGGTCTGACAAAGATAGTTCTTTAAAAACAGAAATGTTAGCCAAACAAGAACCTTCTTCTGATGTCCAGGAAATGTTAGAATTTTTTGGTGACCCTATTTTTTCTTATCAGATCCAGATCATGTGCTCCAATCCCCCATTTTTCTCCTCGAACTAGGAAATGGGGAAATACTCATCTAGGTTAGTAAATATTCACACTTACCCACTGTCTCTGACACCTTTCAACCAGTTCCGAATATCATTTTCATTTGGCTCTGTATTTCCTTCCTTGCTCAAGTCAGTTTGAGATCCATCTACCGAAGTCAATGTGGACTTTGAAGATTTAGGAACCCCTTCTCCGAGAAGGCTGGTCTGCTCCACATTACTGATGGTCATTGCAGCCTTCAGCTCACTGGGTAACATATGGAAAACAGGAGGAGACCAAAGGGAGTGTATGGCACGAAGTAACTACATGACAAACACAATGAAGAGCTCAAATTCGGGCATTGATGGTAAAAGCAGGATACCATGGATTAAACATATCTACAAAAAAGAATACTTGCATACTTTTAGAAGAGGAGGTAGCATCCATGACAAATGCGAAGCCATTGGATGCAAAAAAGCTGAATTTCCTATGGAGCTGCTCTGCAAATTCAAATTCCCTTTTCTGTATCCACTTCTCTTGAGTGCCTTCTCAAAAAATGTCACTGTATGGAAAATTGACCACATAAAGGATGTCTCAGTGCACAAGTGAACCAAGCCTGAAGGTTCAGATAAATAATTGTTTTGCCATTCTGCCTGGATCCATTGTTGGCTCAGTGGTTCCAACAACCAAAGCAAAACTTCTTGCTGCTGTTGAGTCCTGTATCAAGTTTGGATTAAGAATACGAACATTTTCTAGCATAGAAAAGGAGACAAGTACAGGAAACCAGACGTAAGTGATTACCCAGCAGCAGAAGCCATTACGAGAAATGCTTCTCCAAGAATATTATGTTCACCACGCAGAAGACAACCTTCTTTTTGAAGATAGGCCATTGTGTCAGCAATTCCCTTTAAAGAAAATAACAAAGAAAGGAAGCGGAGACAATTAATGTCAGAAGAGCTAGAATGAGATACAGATTGGCACTATGCTAGCACTTGACATCTCAAGCAACAGTAGCTATAAGTAACCATCCATTTGAGCATTGTCCTGTGTTATAAAAAAAGCAATTCGGTTCCAACTCTTTCTTGGAAAAAAAATCCTATTTGGCTATGTATTTAGCCTTCTGAATGCCAGATTTGTACAAATAAATATTCTCTAAGTCACTCCCCTTCTCCCAACAAAAGCCAGAGTAGACATTCTGCGAGACCGAAGAAATGAACATTCTTTCTTGAAGCAAGGGAAATGGTAAGCATAATTACGATGTTAACACTAAATCTTGCAGCATAGAGATAACATGTCCGAATGCATCATAAACTGAAGCCCATGCTATAATCGTGCTAATTTACAATACCAGCTCTATTCTGTCTATGTCTTAGTATTGTTCTGCAAATTTTTCTTTTCATTTTCTTCTTCCTGCTCTTGTATATTCTGATGCCTAGAACTGTTTCTCCGGCTAGTATCATACTTATCAAAATGTAAAAATTACTATTTCAACCAGACTGAAAACCCTGAGGCCAAGTTGAAATGTATAGGAAGACACCTTCATGTATGGCAGAATGCTCTTATCAGCAGCTTTGGCTATCCGAATAAATGAGGAACATATGTGCAGTCTTGCATGCCTTGCACTATTTGCTGAGGGATCCTGCCAAGCAAGCATTTACTTTAAGGCATATCCTGTATAGATCTCTAAAATGTATCCCATCTCTGAATGATTAAAGAAACCTTAACGGCAAAGGGAAGCGATGTTAAAAGCTCAAACAATTTGGTGATGACACTGCTAACAGCATTTGGAAAATACTTCAGGAAAGGACCGAATGCATCTAAGTAGCGCCCAAGAACTTCCACAAGAACTGGTTCACTCCATTTCAAAGCAAGAAGTTGCTGAAGTAACCCTGCAATCTCAGTTTTGAAGCAAAACTTGTTTAGCGATAGTAGAATATCACATCTCTGACAGAAGAAAAAGGTGCAGATTACCTTCGAATATAGTGCACAATGTGAGTTGAACTTCAGAATTACCACCTCCAAATTCGCCTAATCCATCGAAAACTGTGTTCACAACATTTTCTAGAGCCAACTGCATACATTCCATCAAAGCCATATCCTGGAACAAGGCGACAGACTTTAGGATCTAATGACAGAATTAAGCAAGTACAAATGAAAAAACGAGAAAAGGGGAAAAGCCCATTTCTCTTCCTCCTCCCACCTAAGACAAATTTAGCTTTAATTAGAGATGTAATATCTTATTCGCTTTTTTAAATGAAATGATTTTCCAATTATGAGAGCCCACCAAAAAAATCCAAAAATCCAGTCTCCATCCTGCAGCTTTTGACAGAGATGTAAAGAATAATAGTTTAAACTTTAAAGAGTTAAAATAATTATTTATTGCTCTTGTTTTGTTATTTTGATTAAAACTGTAAGCTGGGTTTTGGAGGTAAGCTACTGCGTACCAGGTCACGCCCTCAATGGAATAATTAGCAATATGACAGATGGGTAGTACGAAATTGGTAGAATCTAGGGTATTAACCATTTACTTATTTTGAGGCCCACTTCAGTATTACAAGCTCTCTTCAAAAACACTAAACTCCCATCCAATCTTTTCCTTATTATTGCGAAAAACAAAGGAAAAAAGATTATGACCTTAACAATTTCCAAAGACTCCTATAATAAAAGCCAAGTTTGTTAAACGAACAATCTACTTGAAATAGGCTCCCAGCAGTATTGCATTTCCAAAAAGTCAAATTGCTAGGAAAGAAACTGCATGAAAAACCGAACCTGAGCAGGCATTCGAGGAAGCAAGGGATTCTTGATAATTGAGATGATTTTTTCAGATACTTTCCCACCAGATATTATGGGTTTGTTTGCAGCAACAAACCTAACCAACTCCAACTGCCAAAAACTAATCTATTAGCATTAAGCAAAGGAAAGTCATGTAGCGTCATAGTCGACATTAGAAGCAACATCTAAACGGGAAAAGAAAGTATCTCGTCAGCATACCAGCCGTGACCGATACTGGCTAAATTCACCCTTGCCCTCAAAATCATCACTCCACAACTCCAGAGTTCCCAGAGATACTATTGTCTCAGGAAGAGCTTTTTCTTTCTTGAGCAGCCTTAGGAAAGATGTCTCTAGAATGGCACTGCACATATCATCATTTACATAATCCAAGAGCCTTTTCTTCTCCTTATCAACCTGTCCAGAACTAGAACCTAGACTACCAGTGGCCGGGGTTTCCCCACCCACATTTGGAGGCACCTTAGCCTTTGACATTAAATCTCTCATCAGTGCCTATAATTGCAAATAGCTGTCAACTACACTTCAAATTAAATACAAAGAATTTGAGATCTGACCACGACATCAAATGATCAATAAAAGAACTGCTTACCAACCAAAAGAGCAGAGATTGGAAATGAAGAGCAAATTTGAAATGCTGAAAGAAGCCCAGCATCTGCATTAACGTGACAATGGTTAGCATACAGACACCCTAGTGATCACACTTCTATAGAACTTAAAATCATCATGACTGGGAAAATTATTTCACAAAGCCACAGGCACAGTTCTAGACTCTCAGAAATTGAGAGTGAAGAGTGAAGAGACACCTGCTTCTCGACTTAACAGATACAATTCTAACAATTAAGCATCTATCCTACAGATCTCCATGCTTCAACTGACTAACAAAACTTATGTTAAAACTAGACACAACAAATAATAAATCACAATTCCCAACAACACCAGTAGAGGGAAAAAAAACTGCCACACAGAAGACAAACTAAAATGAACTAAAGAGGTTGTCAAGAATAAACAAGTTCTTTTCAAGATGCCAAATGAAGAAAGCAACTGCTTTGATGCCACTTTGCACCACGTAGATCCTATGATTTAAGCCATGAAAGGTAAGTCACTCAATTCAAGGACTCATTTGGCTTGGGCCAGGTGAATAGTCCTAGATATCAATAAATTAGCAATACACGATAGAGCAAAAAAACCACAGGTCACTCAACAGCCATGTTTTTCTGACCAGAAAATAATAACCACCTAATTTTACTCCAGCAAGCAAAAAAATAGCGTAAGCATAAGGCTGGAATGAAGGAATTGAGAGCAGACTCTTCCCAGCATCCATGCAACATGAACATAAGATTGGATCTACTATATCAAGAGTTCCTTGAAAGTAATCTGATCTCTAATCCTCTGAATCGAGTCATTAGGAGTTTAACAAACTGAAGAGACGATATGTGTAAGTAATCACCTGCTGCAAGTAAAGACAAAGCACAGTGCTCTCGCCGGCAATGCATGGCAAGTTTGAAGAACCCAAAGAGACCATGCTCTCACATATATACTCATAAAACTCAAATTCATTTTCCTCGATGATGCCTGGATTTGATGTAGATCTATACAGAAATTCTCTAGAAACATTCATTAAGATCTGAAAGATGTTACTCATTGCAGCATCAAATTCCGGAGCAGAGGAGTCAACTGGTCTCTTTCTGCATTCACAAGTGAACATATGAGCAGGTCATGGTCAGATGTGTGAAGAATTACTCAAAAATCAATTGTTGACAACTATCCATACCTTGGGGAGACAAGTTTGAAAAATTCACAGGCATGAAGACGGAAATCAGGAGAGGAGAGTAAAATGCCACACCTATCATAAGAAAAAGAGAAGGGGAAAAGGAGGTGAAGTGACAAAAGAAGGAATTGCAGCATGCCAAATTTTGAAAAATCAAGTTCTGTACAAAAAAGATCAACTACCCGTGAATAATGCCAAATTTAGCAAGGTCTGACACTGGAGCCCACTCAGCATATGCATTGATGGCATTTAAGGTAGCAATTACCGTCGCTGCATGTTGTTTTGCAATTTCAAATTGTTGCCTACCAACTTCGATCAAGGCAGCTCCAAAATGCTTCTCTAGCAACTGAACCGAGAATGGAAGTGTTATAATGGTACCGGATATACACAATAAGACGAGGCATGGTCAGAATAATACAGTGTACAGTAAAGGTAGAATATCAGGCAACGATTGTGTGAGTCCTCGTAACAACAGCCTGCGCCTATCACCTAAATTAAGAAGCAGAAAGAAGAACCGGAGTCAGCTGAGGCAAAATTTAGAAGCTAAAAAGATTAGATAAATATCCATGAAACCAAAGCATTATGAACTATTGGTTACTTGAATGAAACAACTCGGAAAATGTTCTAGTACTAGAAGATATCTGGCACTGACTTTCAATTTTCAGAAAATCAACCAAATACTACTTCTAATTTTCTCAAACATCTACCCTATTACATTTACAATACTATGCAGGCTGGGTAGGGGAATAGGCACTAGGAGTCAAATCAAATTAAAGGTAAATTAATAAACTAACCTTCTAAGTCTTCATTATGAACAGTAATGTCTTCAGGAAGCCACCTCAGCATCATTGAAACCAGCTCCGCCTTATTTACCAAGGGTGAACATAGTGATCGATAGATGTTTAATATAAAAGTCCAAATAGCCAAGGTAAGGAAATATATAGATTTACTTGTATGGGTCCCTTGCTGGAGAAGGAAACTAGAGAGGGAAGTAGCTCCTGCCACAAACTCAGTTCTTCTCTTCTAACTATCTAAAATTGTACAAAATTACATTAGTATTGCATCTCAGAAAATCCCTTTAAGCTTCAAAACTCAAAAAGAATGTGGTTAAGACCTCAGCAACAAGGGCAGCTGTTTGACTCTTCAAAGCCCATTCTTCAGAGGAAGATGCACTCTCAGACATCAATTCTACAGCAACATTTGCAAAATTCCTACGTTCTGTGGGGTTCAATTCTTCCCATCGCAATCTAACCAAATGCTGCAACAGAATGCTAATGTTAGATGTGAAGCCATATAAAAACCCACGTACTTCACAGTCACAAATCTAAGCTTAAAAGAAAACTCTGCTTTCTTATCGAAGTCCTACAAGCACATCACCAGAGATGGGAAACATCAACGAATTTATCGCACAGGAAAATCCAACACAAACAAAGCACATAAACTGGAAACTACAAAAGAATGAACCTGCAGCATCTTGAAGGCTTGCAATCTAATTTCAGAAGACCAATCCTTCTTTACTAGAAGGAATGACGAGCTTGCTAATACTCGTACATCTCCAGTCTTGATCTGTTGAGAAAACAGAAAAAAATAAGCACTAGCAGAACAGCAAATGGCACAACCTATTGAGTAGAAGCACAAAAATCATATAGCCTAAATTGTATAATCTTGGGATCTATCGATGGAGAAGCTCACTCAATTTTTTTGGGCCAAGAGAAGGTCACTCGCAATAAACAAACCATTCACAAATTAATTCTCCCGCAAACATCTGCATTCCGGAAAACCTTCTCCCAAGCACGTTAATAGCCACATGTACTGGAAAATTACAATAATAAGTTACACAAGTACCCAACCGGCTGGGGAAATATTAAGCACGCACCCTTTATTTCCCATTCTCTAGCAGCCGCAGGCATTAGATCATTGTTTTGCTAACTTTGCCTTTGTCTGTGATATGAGAGTTCAGTAAGTAATCATCAATGATGAAACACTTGAGTCCAATTGAAAAGCTCTCAAGCCGGAATGTGATATTGGGTCTGACAAAATTCATAAGGATGGCAAAATACCATGGCCTTTATTGCCGAAAGTAGTTGCATCATAATTAATGAGTGGAACAAAGAATTATGTCAATCCTTAAATTGTAATAGTGTCTCCAACACAACAGCAAGAAAAGACTAGAACAGAGAGAATCCACATTTCCTTAAAAAAATGACCGGAGGTATACTCTTCTTGGCATAACAGTATTTTCCATATTAACTTTAATCCTCGGACAGTAAATTTCTTTCACCAAACTTACACATTTATGGACTAAGAAATATTTATTAGGGATAACTAAACCATCTGTGTTCCTAGGATACTAGCAACCTGCACACTGCACAGGTTGACAACTTTTTTAGCAGAAAAATTTTGATTTGCACCCACATGAATCAAACGAAATTTCTTAAAGCAGTCTGATAGTTTACTTTATTCTGAAGGCCCTCTTTATTGTTGGCTGGGAATAGCTACTTGTCTCGCCAAATTCTTTCCACCCATATAGCCAGAGCTGACCCAAATCTTGAAATCCAGGTTTAGCAAAATTGTCTCAAAGAAACTGAATTGGAATGTGAAATTGACTACCGGTATAATTTAAGGTTAAGTTAATAGCAATTGCAATTTTTGGCCATACAAAAAATAGCAGTTGCAATTGCAATTAATTCTGTTGGTCGAGCACCTTCATTGTAACACCCATTCATCCCTTCGATATCATATTTCCATGCTTCTTAAACATGAAGACCGTCAAGAAACAAAGTGTAACATACTTCCTTTTAAGCACCAAAGAATCCCTTAAACGCAGAAAGTTCAAAGTCACAAATTCCCCTCCGATAATCCTCAATAGACCAAAAAATGAAGAACATAAAGCAGCAAGCATCCTGAACAGCTATATAGTAACTTGGTCTATGCTGTATAATGTACCAAAAGTGAATCTAAAAGTCCCAAAATCGCTAGTGCGTCAACCACACAAGATCGACGCCGATAGTTCTAGCTCCTAGAAAATGCTGCCGATTACATATTAAATACGCGTGATTAAACCAAGGAAATACCCAAATGCGTGACGGACCATGGCTTATCACTCTAATTGTGAAGTCTAATTGCCAAAAAAAAATGCACGAGCCAAAGTGCTATTTTGGGCAAAGCATTTATTACGAAACAATTTGATAAAGAAAAGTAACTTTAAACAAGTTCAGATTACAACTTCAATGGTAGAAATCATGGCCAGACAAAGTTCCCAGAAATGTTTTACGCAGTGCCATTTCCCAGGTTACCCAATAAAGTCCACAAGCAAATTCCCCATACTCTGGACTGGAAAGAATGGTTGATTACCTTACCCCAATTATGCGATCCATATCCCGACATGAACACTATATAATATCAGAAGCCAGTTCAAACAAAATAAGGCAGTGATTTACTATAAGAAACTACACGGACAAAAAACTCAAATCCGTTCGGCATTAAATACTCTCTCACCTTACTTGCGTCACCGACAAGTGTGAGCTAGTCGATGACCTTAAACCTCCAGAAACCTCAAATAACCAAACTATTACCACGCTTACAAAAAAATGAAAGATGGATAGCCAAACCCTGAGCGATGACATCTTTAAATCTGGCAAGCCACTGATTTTTCATTTTTCCCATCACCAACTTTTTGAATTGCTAGAAGGACCTAGGGACAACATATAATTTCATCATTCTTTCCCACCCAATCAAAATGGCCTCCTTTGCGTTAGATGGCTTATATCCTTGACATGGAGGAAGCTCAAGCTTAAGACACTTCGGAGCCATCTCATCAATTTCTGAGAATTACAAACCTCAGTCCAGGAGTACCATCCAGGACTCGATAGTGACATCATTTCCAAGATAGAAAACGAACATTCCCCAACATCAATATTTCCTACGCGGAGACTTATTCAGGCTGAACAACCCATTCCTCAATCCAAGTCCATCAACCACGAGCACGGGGAAATCCCCAGCGCAAGCAATCAAAAGCCGATTAACACTCGCCATTGCTAACGAACGCCACATCGAACCAAAACCCACAAATCATCAACCCCGAAAAACACCTCAAAACACACACACAGAGACAGAGGGAGAGCGCATACGGATTCAAGGAAAGAGACGGCGGCTCTGCGAGCGTCGGGAGCGGAGCTCCAGTCCAAGGCGGTGGCGATCGCGCGAGCCAGATTGCCGGCCACGGCGTTCGCGTCCCCCATCACTTCCAAACGATCAGCCACGAAAAGGGACGAACCCCCTTTGTCCCTGTCCTTCAGCTTCGAGTTCTCAATTCGATTAGGCTCTCAGCTTCTCCCCCACGGGGCTCCCCGCTGCTTCCCCGGAAGCTTCTGCGGAGATGGGCTCCCGCAGACTGACTCGAGACGATGAATGGGTCGCGCTTCGCTTTGCTCCGCTCGACGAAAGTCCCGAGCTTTTGCGCTGCGCTTCGTCTCCGTCGTCAGTAAAGGAGCTTACTTTGGCGGTGGTGCTCTTGCAAAGTTTGGAGCTTTGTTTATAGCGTGCGTGTGGGAGAGAGAGGGAGAGGGAGAGCGAGACCCCCGCTTGTGATTTTGCCGAAGATTAGAGCGCAAGGCGTCCAATGGAAGTCAAAGTCAAGTCGTCCGGAAGCAGAGGATTTTCATTTTTTCTTTTTGGGTTAATCTTGATAATACATAACTTATGATAAATAATAAAAAATGCCATGAAAAATCTTAGATCGATGTGCAGTTGTGCACCATGACATCGATATTCAAATGTTTTTATTTCGTCAAAATCTCGAATTTAGACTAGTGAGACAAAAATACTCACTGTTTGTCACAAAAAAATCATAGGCTTTGTTTTATTGTGTTACCATGTCTCAATACCCAAAATTTTTCTTTTTGTGTTGCCGATTCTCTGTATTTAGGGAAAATTTCAAAAAAAGGCCCGAATTTGAATGATTTTCTCAAATAAGGGTCTGAAGTGCCCTCATTATCTCAATTAAGGGCCTGAAGTGAATCTTGTCTCAAATAATGGCATGAAATGGTTATATAAGGACCTGACCTCACCGGTCAAAAGATATTTTTGTCTTTTACATTTTTGATTTTTTTTTCTTTTTTCCTTTTTATGTTTTTTTTTCATTTTCCTTTTCTTTTTTTTTTCTTCTCTTCCCTTCGCCGCCATCAGGTGGAGGTCGCCCACGTCGGATCTGGCGAGGGTCATCCTCGCCCGCCCAGCCCAGGCGAGGCAACCCTCGCCCAATGCTAGCGAGGGCAACCCTCGTCCTTGCTTGCACCCGACGCCGGGGGTGCCGGCGAGGGCGAGGGTCGCCCTTGCCCACCCAGCCCAAGTGAGGCAACCCTTGCTTGAGGCCGGCAAAGGTCTTTGGCCAGGCACAGTGATCGTTGGGGAGGAAAAAAGAAAAAAGAAAAAGAAAGTAAAAAAATCAAAAAAATATACATATAATCTTTTTTTTTTTACTAAAATACCCTTTCTCCGACGGCGGAATAGTCACTGGCTGCCCAAAGGTCCTTATTTGAGACGATTTGACTATTTCAGGCCCCTATTTGAGACGATTTAGCCTCTTCAAGCCCTTATTTAAGACAGCATACACTTCAGATCATTATTTGAGAAAACGACTCCACTTCGAGCCCCTTTTTGGAATTTTCCCTCGTATTTATATTACGGTAAGCATAATTTAGGAATTCTGACGTCACGATAGAAAATTTTGGGATATTATGAGTCACAGTGTGCATATTTTAGGGGTTTTAGTGAAGTTAACCTAAAAAAGAGGACATAAATTCATGCAAATGAAATAATTTGGTACAAATTTTCAAAATGTCTCAAACGGAGCTACATCCCTTATACCTCTGCCACAACTTTTTTGCCTGCGTTACTTTGGATATCCATAAATACTCGTCAAACATGTCAATAAACGTGGTACATGATGCCTACATATCAAACTCTATTCTTGCATTGCAAGGTCTATACAGCATCAGAAGTGACCCTCATTCCGCCCCTGCAAATCCATCTTGATGACTTCCACTCTCGCCAAATGGACTCGGGGCGCAAGTCGTCTAGCCGAGCGGTCGCGATGAGAGAGACTCGCCGGCAGATTGTGGACAAAACTTGCGAAATTATGTGACTGAAAATCAATTATCTTGAGGATGACAGCACTTCAACATTGAGAAGAGTAGAGAACTCAGGCTGTCAATACTTATTTTAACTCTTCAGAGTGTAAAAAATAGGTGAGTACTTGGTACCAAGAAGCCACTGAAGTAAAAATTTACAGCACCAACATTGACCGACCATCCCAGCAAACCAAAAAACGGTAGCAGCAAAAATCTAAATCCTCCATGGGACAAAAAAAATTAAACATCGATATGGATAATAAACACCGAGCGAAGTTTACCCTCGAATTCACTTTTCTGTCTTCGTGAAACAAATTTCCTTCCCACCGGTAGATGGTTTAAGCTATGCTTTTGCTTTCATATGCTTTCAAATGAGTATCTGCTCTTCTCCCTTTATTGGTTCCCATAGATAACTTCGAAGACTCTCTCAGTCCACCTGCACCGTGCTTCTTTCGCCTTGGAGCACCAGGAGGATCGACCAGTGGGCCTGACCAAGTTTGATCCTGCTCTTTCGAAGAAGTAAGTGAGGCAGAGGTGAATGGGACATCGGGAGGAATGACAGACGGATCAAAACGATGAGAAGCTCCCAATGGGAAGCCGAGTGCTCCATCCTGATGTGGCGGAGGGAACTTTTCACTTTTGCTCTTTGCATTTGCATGGGAAATGAGTCGTCTTCTCTGATATACAGAAAACCAGAATCCTTGTTAAGAAAATTAAACTGGGTCTAGTAATGTGAATGGGTGTGCCTGTTTGCCTAATCTGCCCGCCCAATTCATTGTCACTAGTTGGCAATGCTTTAGATGATTAGGTTTAACAAGAATCGTCACCAAGGAAAGAAACAGAACACAGGAATCCTTTAGCTACCATGTAATAACGAAACCGAACAGAGGAAGCAGGAAAGAGAAATAGTTTCGCATACATCAATGTTATGCTGAAGCTCGGCATTCGCTTCCGGAGCAGGGACAGCCCTGACACGTCGATCACGTGTCCGTTCCTTCTTTGCACCATCTGCTTGTCCTTTACTAGCCGCTCTCAACCTGCAGAGATACGAGAAAATGCTAATTGGAAAAGTTCACCAAACACTGACATGAGAACTGCCATATGCTTCATTTTGGGTACTAAAGATGCTACTTTTTGAACTGAAGAATCCAAGGATGCTACTTTTAGAACTGACATGTTGCATTTTCAGTACTTATGATGCTATGCATGGTATGCAACCACATTTTTTATATCAAATGCTTTAACCTAGAAATGTGTAATTTGTCTGAATAGATTCGCACTGAAATTACATGAAGTGCCAGTTCTATATTGATAGCAAACCAGAGAAAAGGCATGATAACTCGGGTAGCAGTTTTAATAGAAATGAACCATCAAGAAAACATGAGCCAGCACAGGAAAAAGTACGAGGAATGGAAGGAACCTAAAATAAAAGAACAAGGAAAATCTAGCTTCTGGGACCAACCGTCGAGCTTCGTCATCACGTTTTTTAGCATCCATTTCCTTACTGGGGGGATACTGTGGCAGGCTAGACGGTTCACAAGCATATGGTTCCATCCGGAAGAACTGCGTGCAAAGGCAGGGGCAAAGTAGTAAATTAATAGGAAAAGGAAAAGGAAAAGCAAAAAAGAAAAAGAAAAGGAAGCATAGTTGCAGAACTTCAAATAGCATGTGTACAGCCAGATCTAACTCAATATATTACCCTTATTAGTTAGTCATAGAATAGTTTCTGACAAGCCATCATAATATTATGCAGCCAAGGAAACATCAAGTTTCATCCAAGTTCAGAATGGTAAGTCGATGGACTGTAAAATCTCCATCCAAGGTCCAGACAATTCCCATATATATTGTGTCTTCAAGTACTTACACAGATCATAAGCATAAAAATATTCAAGGAAGTTAAACTTAACCGTCCTGAGAAAGCATAATCTCATAGAACAGATAATGAGCAGACGGGCACAACCAAAGCTGGCCAAATTTAGGCAACCCGAGTTTAAGTTGATGCAGGTTGCTGAATATGATTGAAAATATTTGTGGTTTGAACCTAGCCAGAGGAAATTGTCTCCATTTAAGCAAATCAATTATCAAAGAAAAAAAAGAAGAAAAACGTTGCAATTGCAAATTACAGTCTTCATATAGGTTTTAATGACTACTTTACCATCCAATGCAGGAAACAAACTTTAGACAATAGATCGATAGAGAGATCAACAGGAAAAAGAGAAGCCATGATAGTTAAAAACTTTACTGTCAAGGGAAAAAGAGCAACAAGCACATGGAAGCATTTAAAATATAATGCACTAATGTTAAACTGACTTCGCTTTGCAAAGCATCAGTGGCTGTCCCGCGTTCCGCTGGATCAATTGCCAGAAGAGTTTCAATTAGTGGCAAAGATGATGGTGGGAAGTCCTTAAATGTTTCCCTGATGCATCTTCTATAAGGTTCTCGAGGCTTGAACAATGTTGCATTTGGCAACTTATATTTCTTCCAATACTCTTCAGAAGGTGAGCCACATAATTTGTATATCTTGTGGAGTTGCTCTACCTATGTACACATATATAACAGCAAGTTCAGATATGAGAGGAAGGCAGTTGTATTTTCCTGGAAAAGAAGGATGGTTCCACAGACAAGGATGGAACAATCAATGAGATAAAATCCAAAATGCTGATAGCTAGTCAACAGCAATGAAGCATCGAAATGTCAAACTAGATCTAGGCCAATACGATCTAGCATAAAAATCCAGTTATGCCCTATTAATAATGCATCACTGATACCGAGGATGAATTTGATCATTTACCAGTACATGGATATAAGTATATTATACAGATTGTCCACAATATGTGTTGCATACTGGATTATCCAAACCTTCAACTTGACTTATCCCCATGCAAGCACAAAAACCACCTTGTTCACGTGCAATGGGCAAGGCACTACTCACAGGATGGTGGGTTTGGCCCCAATTAACTTTGAATGGGAGATGCTATGATTTGAATAACAGTTTGTTGATTTTCGTTCAAGCACTTGACTACCCAACCAACTCGTTGAGGGTTCAGATTGTCTAATATCACATACATGTAAGTATACAGATTAATACAGTATATATATACCTTTTCTTACTCACTAGACAAACTTTAGGCCACAAACTGCGAATTACAAAAGTCGCAACCAAGAAATGTTCATTTGTATCCAAAAAAAAATATCACGAGAAGAAGTTCCAAACATACCTCTGTTCGACCAGGCATAATGGGCTTTCCCGCTAACAACTCGGCTAGTATACAACCAGCACTCCACAAGTCTATACCCACACCATAGTCATTGGCCCCGAGGAGAAGTTCAGGGGGACGATACCACAGAGTGACCACCCGACTCGTCATCCGATGCTTGTGGTCTGGATCATAGAATGAAGCCAGTCCAAAATCACCAATTTTAAGAATTCCTCCATTGTCAATCAGTAGATTTGAGCCCTTAATATCGCGGTGAAGCACACGGCGATTGTGACAGTGCTCTAGTCCGGAGAGCAGCTGATGCATGTAACACTTGACCTACAAAATATATAGATATTATGTTTGAAAGAAGGGGAAAAGAAGTACCATATAACAAAAAGGGGCATGGAGGCCTCACAATCAGTCATCTATTTTAAGAGACGAACTTGCACAAACCTGTGGCTCAGTGAATTTGATTGCTGGACTTGCTGCTAATCCAGCCAAATCATGCTCCATGTACTCCAATACCAGGTACAAGCTGCAGGACATTCGTGAGGTAACTAAACCGTCCAACTTCACAACATTAGGATGATCCAAATGCCGCAGAATGAGAATTTCTCGTGCCATAAACCTCACGCTTTCAGGTTCTAAGTTGTCAAACCGGACCTTCTTTAGTGCAACAATTTTACCAGTCAACAAATCCTTGGCTTTGTACACATTACTATATGTTCCTTGTCCAATCTGACAGGTAAAATAACACTAAGGAATTAGAAAATAATAGGGGGAAAAGGAAAAGCTTAAATTTAATATAATAGCAATTATCCAAAATGAAACCAAACAAAACAAGAGCAGTGCTATAAGTCGTGAGTCCTTATATTGTGAACCATGCAATCATGAGTCCAAGGCACTTCAAAGTTTTTCATTGCCGCAATCAAAAGCTGCTGTAATCGAAACGCCAAGGATGAACTTTACGTGAAAAAAATTAAAAGTCGCATCCAACCTTATCAATTTTCTCAAATGTGTTCGCTCTTCGAGGAGTCCAACCACTGAGAGCCTCCCCGCATATGTCTGAGAGCCACGAGGGCCATCCAGCTGCAACCTGCTCTCCTCGAGTATGCTTCGGCAGGTTGCCTAACTTTGTGCTTGGCCTCGACCGTCTCCTTTGTTCCCGCTGATCGTCTTCGACCTTCTCCTTATTCTGGGTCTCATCGGTCTCGGCTTTACTCTCTCCCTCTACCTTCGCGACCGAATCATCCCTCTTGCTGGTCTCGACGCTGGAATTTTCCCGTCCTTTGGACTCTGTGACTATGCCGGACGACACCTCTCGACCAAGCACGCACCCCATTCCTCGCACCTAATTTTCATCTCTGAACATATCCCATACAGCTCATATACGGCCAGTTACCACCCACCACCAATCAATATCCTCTGAGGGGATCACTCACCACAAGAACAAGGCAACTCTCAAGCACAAGCAGCTCGATTTCTGCATCAGCAAGTCGAATCTACCCACCTGTAAGTTATACCAGAGGTCAGAGACCACAGCAACCGGAACTGATCAATCCGCTGAACGATGCACTACAAGATACCAGATGCTTTGCAAAACATGAACCCTAAACCAGCAATCCCTCAAAAAGATGAAAATCGATCTGGGTGCTGAGATTTCAGCACACCCACCAAAGAAAAACTCGATTGAAGTCAGAAACACAGAGGAGGAGAGAGAAAGACTGACTCGGACTGAATCTGGGTCTGCGCAAGAAAGCACTGAAGCTTGTTCTGGGGAGGGTTACAGCTCCTTCAGTGCGGCGTGAAATGCCTCTCTGGTCAATCCTGCCCGGGAAAAGGAAAGGGAGAAAGAAAAAAAAGAATTCTGGGTATGAGACTACTCGGTATTTCTGGGACGTTCAGGCCAGGGGGGGCAATAAGAGGAGGAAAAAAACCGAACCGCAACAGCAGATCGTACTTCTCAGTTCTCAATTATATGCTGCTGTCTTTAGTTTTCGCAAGTCAAACCTCCCCACCCCCTCCCCGTTGTTCTTTTAGCTGAGGACAAGGTGGGGCCATTTTCTATTTTCCTGAATTAACGGGAGGCTCTTTCTTCTCCTTTCCTAATTTTTTTCCTTTTGATATGTTGCTGCTGTTGCGTCTTCGGTAATCATCTGGCACTTCCCCTCTTGTTCTCCCTTCTTTCCCTCTTTTCGCCTCGCTCAATTTCGTCTTCCTTTTGGACTTTGATGATGGCATGGAGTAGGCTAAGCTAAGCTTAAGCTGGTTTCCTCGTTCAGTAAATTTTCGGTTTTTTTTGGCTCTTTTCCATAATTCACGAAAAATCATGTAGACATCGGGGGTTGGTTTGGAGTCGCATGACGTTCTTTTTTTTATTATCTTCCAAGTACCTACTTTTTTAGAACTAATGGAGACAGAGGGAGAAGACCAACGGCGAAGGATATGGACGTTTTACCAATTACCGCTAGCAGTCTGTAATGCAACTTAACCATTTCTTGATGTGTTGATTTCTTTATTATACCGCCCCTTATCAGTTGAATTGTACAAGATGGTGATCGTAATTGAGTCATGGACACCCAATTTTATATATGCCCACGTTAGAATTTGGACGCAAGTAGAAATAAATTTCAATTTGACCTGCAATGGTCACTTGTTACATCGAACCGTATTGAGCATGGATTACCCGAGATATGATTTGCAAATGCAAATGGAAGGGCATGTGCTACTAATCCAGACAAAAGCTCAAAGGCATTGTTAGAAGCATCTGTGTTCCCTTGTTGCCATTCCAAAAGTCCCCAAACAAACTAACCCGACCGATGATATGAAGTTGAGACTCATGAATACTACGTCAATACATGCTGACAGAAAAAAGTGCGACCATTTCTCATCAGCAGCAAAAGAAATTTACTGCAATAAAACACATCAGAAAGAGGGCCTAACAAAACCACATTTTACAAAAAGCAATCGTTTCAGCGCAGAAATAAATTCAAAATTCGTTCATGGGTAGCTGCAGCAACTACGGGTACAGATTCTCAGTCCTCGCTTCTCTTTTTCTTCTTTTTTTCTTTCCTCTTGCTAGGTTGTTCACTATCTTCTTCATCTTGTTCAGCATGCTTTCTCTTCTTCTTCTTCTTCGTTTCTTCTTCGACAGCATTCCCATCAGACTGCAACCCGGACTCCTCGGCCGCATCTTTCTTTTTTTTCTTTTTCTTGTCTTTTTTCGCTGGGGCATCGCCATCAGCTTCTGCAGAACCATTTGCGCCCACTAGCATTGTCGTCTCTTCTTCATCAGCTTTCTTCTTCTTCTTCTTCTTCTTTTTCTCTTTCTTCCCTTCCCCAGTTGGAGGCTCTTCGGTGACTTCTGCCATTAGAGATGGTACACTTTCGGTTCTTCTCTTCTTTTTCTCCATTTCTTCACCATTCCCAGCGGCATTAATCAAAGTTTGCCCAAGAGTAGAATCGGCGGAAGGATTGTATGTCTACAATAAAAAAAATACAGGTATTATTATCCATTTGCAACAAAAGGCAGTGCAGAAAAAAAATACAACATTACGAAAATCCGAGGCTTCACTTGATGGCAAGCTGATGTTGACATTCAGCTTGACAATATAGGTGCGTCCCCCATTGACAGTCACTCGTGAGTCAAATGAATCTACCCTCAAGATCCGAAACAAGAGAATGGTATAAAATGAAAGCGTACCTTAGCAGCAGTTATCAAGGCCCCAGCGCCCTTCTTTCGGTCCTTGTCATAGACTTCTATCTTAGGCTTGCCCTTTGCAGAGCCCGCAGAACGACCCAATTCTCTGCCCTCGAGATTCCTCAACCTTGCTTCAAGCTACAAGCAGACATACATCAGCAAAGCAAATTCTCTCCACTCCGCTCTGTGTGTGTGTGTGTACTTATGTGTCTGGGTGGTGGTTGAGCCATTGAACAATAAAAGCATGTTTCCCCTGTGACAAAAGATAGCAAGTAGAGAAATTGAAATAAGTACCTTGGCCCGATTTTCAAGACCCATGGAGTTATCTTCAGTGTCTCCAAGAGCATCGTATCTAATAGCCAAGGCGGTTTTCGCAGCAAGTGAACGAGAAATTTTTCCCTTCAATTTCGGTGCAGCCTGGCCAATCAATGATGCATGGTAAATCAGCCCATACTTAGGAGTAGCATGTTTTGTCTTCAATGCTCTGAAAAGAGCCTTCTCAGCGCCCAAGATTTGGACGGTGCTACCAGGCTGCTTTGCAAGGTTTAACAAGCTGCCGCCGTGCGCAATCAGACGGGCCCCGACAAGCTCTCCGACCATGGCAGTCAAATTGGGCGCAATGGTGTTCATTCTACTCTTCAAATAATCATAGAGCTGACCTCTATACTCGGAGAGAGACAAGACTTGGTCGCACAGTTCTTTTATGTTTAACAAATCAAGTTCACTGACTTCAGTGCCCATTGAAATCTCAGATGCCGCTTTTAACTCTGTCTCAACCTCTTCAGGCAATATCTGCAGAATATCAAGCAAAATAATCAGCACATTCCCCGGTCAGAATATCATAACTATGACTCACAGTTCCAGCTCATTCATTTGATAGCCTCTATTCTGATTCCTACTTGCAACATCATGTCTAAAACATATACATCTGATGGAACACGAGTCCCAATCGATGCCAAAAAATTAAAGGACAAAAATTTATCACGACTACAAGCTTCTTCTAATAGTCTGGATATCTGGTCCTCAGATTTATATGCCCAATAAAAATCACCATCACCATTTCATAGGAAGTCATACCCCAGAAAAGTCTAGCTTTGAAGCATTAGTGCGGTCGCCCATCAGCTTCACGGTCTTGGCATATAGTATGTTATCCTGGATAATCTTACCAAGCTCCGGAAAATGCCATCCATACCACTCTCGGACCCTCATCGCATAAGTATTCAGCTCTTTATCAAGATCGTCAAGTAAGCCAATGGCCTGAATGATCATAGTGTCCACCTAAACAAGACAACCTATGTAATTAGAGAGCTCCAGCATAAACATCTATTTCAGTTCAAAGGACGAAACGGGACTACTGATAGATCATAGCTTTGAGTTCAACATCTTTCCTAAACAGACGAATAAACAATTAAGTTTAGAAAGTTGGCGATTAAGTGCACTTCTCCGATCGTTCCATGGCAATCTATGGGACCTCAAATAACAATATATAGCCACCTAACCAAAAAAGCCAATTCTCATTTCATCAAAGACCATCTAATAAGTGATTCAGATAAAAAAATCAAATGAAATTTTCAATATCCTAACATACAATTTTTTTCCATATATCAAGACTAGCCATAACCAAAAAAAAAATGAAATCTTCATTATCCTTACGACAATTTTTTTTGATAAGTCAAAACCAGCCATAACCAGATAAAGCAAAGACCATGCGACAATGATGGTCAATAGATGAGTTTGTCACAGATCAAGAAACATCAAGAACCATAGTTAATCCAACACAAGTATACGAATTAGTAAAAAAAAACACACCTTATCAGCACTAAACTTCAGCTTGTATCTAGACAGGCTATGAGATAAACCCAGACTCATTGGAGCCAGATCCTGGACAGCTAGACCCGAAATGAGTTCAGTCAGCTGACTCCTCACACCTCGCATCAACTCCATAACAGCATTATTGTGGACACATTCAATTTGCTGCAAGGAAATAATCTCTCGGGTTTTAGGAAAAACAAAAGGAAACAAGCTAACAACGGTAACAGGATCACACTAAGCATCAAAGCATCTGCATACCAACTTCTCTTTAATAGCATTTCCAAGCTTTGAATCAGCCACAGCCAAATTTTCCCCATCACAGTGAGCACGTAAGAATTTACGAAGACCTTTGTAAGGTTTGCTCTCAATCAAACAGGTTGCAGCTGATAGAGCTTCTGCCGTATTTTCAAACTTTGAAAAAGCTTTCAGCTTAACAACCTGATAGCCACAGAGAAAACAATTGTCAGGTCCATTGTGAAAGCTGCAATGAAGCAAGGCAACAATTTTGGCGAGACTACCAATCGAATTAATCAGACCCTGAAAGCCCTAGTGATCAAATACTCGTTTGCAATCAACGGACTATCAATGAAAATAAACCCACTAACTACGTGTATCATTTATGTTCCTGGCAAAGTGACAACGGAGACAGAGAGGGCACCTTTCTAGCAGATTCAGCAGATGAGAAATCCTTCCACAAGTCCTGGCAACAGTAAAAACAGGAAACTTAGCAAGATGGAAGGACATTAACTCGTACAATCTCCATTAGAGAAATCAACAAATAAAAGATAGGGCTTGAGTCATGTATGACTTTCGAAATTATCACAAAGCCCAAATCCTCAATTCAAGCTCGCACCGAAAATCACGCGTTATAATCAGTAGAGAACAGCAACCGAGTAAACACGAAGCAACAAATCACCTCGACCTTCGAGAGCTTCCCTTCATCCAACACTTTGAACAGGGCAAAGCCCGCCGGCGTCTCGAACAACACGAGCATTTTAAACCCAAATGCCGGACCCAAAGACCACCTGAAAAAACAGAGCCATCGATTTGCTCAGGCAACTCATCCAAAACAAGATTCCACAGAACGGCCAAACAACTCATCTCAACAGCAACCACCCGACAGACCCACAAATCAATCACAACACATATTCGATCACCGACACATGCATGCTCATCCCTATGCGCACACTAGCTAGCAAATCAGAAGTAGCAGCCCAGTCAACCAAAGAAAAGGGCTAAAAATCGACCCTTTGCTGCTCAAGAGCCAAAACAACACGCATTACAAAGTTTGCCCACATAGAATCCTAACGTATACCGACAGTATTGCTCAGCAGCGGAGCTTGAACACGCAAATGGGCAAAGAACGCGGTGCAAAGAGAGGAGCTTTTAGGGTTTCGCAGAGCACGGAGAAGTTGGAGAGTACCCGGAGCTGCGTCGCCTAAGAAGAAGAAGCAGACGCCCAGCAGGAGAAGACGAGAAGGGTCTAGGGTTTAAGCGTGGCGTGCCCAAATATTTATAGACGTGGTACGACTCACCGTTTTTTCTCTGGTCTGGGAAATGTGACCTTATTTTTCTGGTGTTTAGTAATTTAGCAAATTTACATAATCTTTTTAACCATAAGAGTTTGGAACATATTTTAAAATTTATTTTACAAGTAAATTGAAAGTATGAGCTCCGTTTGTTTTACGAGAAATAAATGATTTGAAAAGTCTTTTCTTTAATTTGATTGCTTATATCTCTTAAAATAATTAGACAACAATTTATGCGTAAACAATTTCGTAGATAGTTAATTTTTTTTCCGTTCATTCTTAGATGTATTTTAAGAAAATATTTTTCAAATCATTCATTTTCCATGAAATAGATACACCTCTAAACTCTCTAGATTATTTATCGAACTACTCTTGCTCTATTAAAATTCTTAATGTTTCTTATACAATTTCATCAACCCCTAAAGAAAATTAACTATAGTTTAACATTTTCGGTAACGATTACTGTTGAAAGCCTAATTTCTCATTCTAATATTGCTAGATTTCAGATTTTTATGATTATTGATCTCGAATTTTTTTTAATGTTATATCTTTCATTCTGCTAGTATTCAAATTGGAGATTTGGAATGGATGAATTTTTGAATTAATGGCTGTGCTTGCAAACTTGACATGTTTTGTCATGTATTGAGTGTAAGATACGTGCGTACTAAGGTAGGAAAATGGTGAGTGTGCGGGTAGCCAATAGGGTCTGACAACTTTAATGAGATAGATAAAGATTTCATGTTAGAATTTATAACGGATTTGAAATGTGATTGAGAAATGATAAAAATATTGACGAGATGGTCTGGGGACGAGGTTTGTCCCAAACCCATCCCGCTTCCATCCCCGAGCAAGCTAGGGACATCCCACAAAATTGAATGAAGAAGAAAAAGGGCAAAGGAGGAAAAAAGTAAAATAAATCAAATTTAAGCAAGCCAAAAACATTTTAGTGTATTTTTAAATTTTGGGTCTTGTATTTTATAAGCTCAAAACTAAACCACCAAAATTTAGAGAAAATCCAAAAGATGTGTATTATGCATACGAACATGTATTTTCAAGAGTGTAGAGTAAGAACATATATGTTTTACAATAACAAACGATGCTTTTAACAAGTACATAACAATTGGGAGACATCTAGTTATGTATGCTTTAGGGGAGACAAGTAAATTTACAGGCAGGGAATGGTCCAAAACTATAATGCTATTTGACTCGGAAGCATAATTTTTCTTTGGTTCTATTCTTTTCTTGTCTCTCCATTTTAAATTTTTTTAACAAAGTGAAAGGTTTGGTAAGAACATTTCAGAGGCAATTGCAAGGAGTAATTATGCGAAGCCCATAGATCAGCATATGTGCTTTTTGTACATTCTATGCCAGGCCCACAGAATGGATAGTCATGGTACTTAAAATTTTCTTTTTGGAACCAAATATTATTGAATCTGTCATTTTTGCGAATATAGTGCGTCTCGTATCCAGATGCATAAGTATAATCATCATATGATTAGCTCAATGACACAATTTGTCAGGCACGGACATACCTTTCCCATATGCTGTATACTGATTTTCATTGTCGTCAATCTCTCCAAACCCCCGGTCTTCCATTCAAAATGACTAATCTAAAACATATGTTTGGCATTAATGATTGTCTTTACGTAGTCACAGTGACATAATTTTGGTTAAAGAAGTCGCCAATTGAGCTCAAGAGATTATTGTATGATCCGTGACAAAGTGCAAAGAATTGCGATTCGTATATTCTAAATGCAGCAATTTCATGTACCAATGAGAAACTTGATATTTGCTATCATTGAATAATTTAGGGCATAAGAAACTTAGTAATATACTAGAGATGCTAAAATGGATTTATGGAATTGATTTATCAAAATAATCAGACTCCCATTGATATGTAAATGAGATTACATATCGAATTTTAGTTCAGAGACCATATTGAATAAATTAAAAGCTTGGAGAACACATTACACATTGGGCCAAAGTTCAAAAACTATTTGTATCATTATCCATCACATTTTTGTTGACTTTGCACTTTTTTGCATTTAGATATTCGTGATTAAATACTATAGACATTTGATGTAATGGGAGAAAAGAGGGATAATTTCCTCGGACTTTGCAGTCATAAGATTTTTGCGTTCCCATAGAGGAGACAACATTACAAGATTTATTTTAACAACTTACAAGAAGCATGAATGCTCCTAAGAGAAAAGCTATTAGAAGGAAGAATTTATATGTTCGCTTTAGAATCTGTTTCCTTCTCATAATTGGAGTCTGCCTAGCTCCAAACTCACCACCTCTTCCGGCTCTGCCGTTCGATTTCCGGAGACATTTGACCCATCGTCTGGCCTGGAAATCGGCGTTCTTCCTGATGGTGAAGCTGAACACACTGGTACAACAGAACGGATTCGAACAGGGGGTGCCAAGAAACGAGGACGCAATGCTTCAACATTGCGTCCTGTGGGTTTTGGCCTAGCCGAATATGAATTAGCTCCCGTTCTCATTCTTGGAGGAGCATGCTTATGGGGAGCCAAATTTTGCGGTCTGTAATGTACTACAGGTACACTGCCACTTGATCGATTCATTGTGGATTCCACTGCAGAAGGTGGACTCAAGCATCTAACTAAACTTGCTCTTGGAGGATACTGACGTCCGTGATGTAGGGGAGAAGAATTAAATGTATCCTTAGTTTGCAACCGAGCTTTCTCTATGACATTCCAATGATCCTGCCCCGATATTCTTAACTCACTTCCGCTGCTTCTAAGAACAAGTGAATCTGAAGTTACAGTTGTCGGAAAGCCCGATGATTCTTCGACTTGCTCCTCCTGAATCTCTTGAATGGTCAATCTGGGTCTGCTACTCATTGAATCAGGAATCACTTGGTTTGAGAAACAAAATGATGGGACCGATGTGGCAATTGCAATTCTGGGCCCCAAGACAGGAGAACAAAACTGCCTCGCTGGAAAATGCTGGCAGCTGTCTGGGTTAATCACAGATTGCACGTTGGGAAGAATCTGAGGCGATGATATAGTAGAAGGAATGGGAAGCCTCACTAAGTGAAGCTGCTGTTGAAAAAGCTTCTCTTGCTCCCACATATGACACATTACCATCTGATGCGGAAAACTTGAGTATGCCCAATTTTGATACTGCAAAGGACAGAAGCTTCTTGAATATGGGCTGCGTACATTGGATTTGACTGATCTTATTTGTCTTTTTTGCACTTCTTTCGACTCTGACTCTGATGGTGGTAAACTCGACAGGAAACGAGCAACGATAACCTGTTCCTGTTCTTCACTAGCTTTAGAATCCAGCGGAGCAGACGAAGAACAGGAAGACATTGACTCCCGAGACACTGCACCGGGTTATAAAAGTTAGCTATTAAGCAAAATTTCATAGGCATTCTACTAGTGCTCATCATCGGAGGTCCCTGAAAATTGAACTTATGACAGGCTAAATCCCAACTTCTACTCCAAAAGCAAGAATAGACAGACAAAAGGGTAGGAAGGACACGAAGGGAGAAAAAAGGGTACATGAGAAGAATCGCTTACTTTTTCTCAAGGCAGACCAAGCAGCCATGGCAGCATTTTTCTGAGCTTGTTTCTTTGTTCTAGCTGGTTGCCCAGTAAAGCTCTTTCCAGCTAGCTCAACTGTACAAGAGAAACTAGGAACATGGCCTGGTCCAGATCGAATAGTAGAATAAGCAGGCAGGTTCAAACCAGCTCTGTGAGCTGTCTCCTGAAGCAAATTCTTGTAAACTCCAGTTTCATCCTGCGCAGCAAACCCATATGATAATGATACAGGCATATCTAGAGCAAACAATTTACTAGTGTATTTAGTCTGTTTAACCGCATGAAGTGTTCGAGAAATAGCCAAATCGAAGTAGTTCATTTGATTAAGGTTCCAGATGAAGAGAGTAAAATAATGTAACTTAAGACAGACACTAAATCTTCCGTTTAATACATACCAAAACTTTTGCAGCCAATGCTCTAGATGGACCCTTTGTAGCAAGTGCGGTTAGAGCTACCTCAGCTGCTGAATGTTCTGCTTGCCTTAGCGTAGAGCAGAAAGTAGGACTTTCAAAAGTCTCTCCATTGAAGTTGACTGTAGCTTTAAATCGAGGGGCATGATCAGGTCCCTCCCGGATGCAAGAATAAGATGGCAAGTTGAAGCAGCTTCTCTGAGCCAATTCTTGCAGCTGGTTTTTATACATACCTATGTGTATGATGTAATTTATGCATTGAGCGGGAGTTGTACACTATCATTCATTAAGAGTTATACACATTTAAGCTGATATGAAGGATGGCATATGCAAGGACAGCAAGTTCAAATTCCTGCTTTTTAGATATCCAAGTCTGCCGGAAACAGTAAATTTGGCAAACGCTATTACAAGAGCCATCCAGACACAGAAAAACAATACATCGATCATTCTCAAAATCAATGAAGATTTCGTGGATCCTATCGTCTCGCTCTTACTTTTTTGTAACTTTACTAAATTCATTGCAGAAACTGGCTGTCGAAAAACTGCATTTCAACTAGTTATCATTGTCAACAGAGACATTGTGATCAAATTTCCTATCTTAACACAACAAAAACGGCAAATAAAGGAAACAAACATCATGCATTGCATGTTTAAAGGAGGTTCTCAGCCAATCGTGCGGAACTAAAAAGTGAGACGGCAAGTTGCGGCATCTCACCAACTCATACTAACTAAGCACTGCCTAAGACTGCTACGCTGTGCAAAGTTAAACTCTGACTACTGGAGTAACTACACAAAAAACGAAAAAGGGTTTAACGGTATACACTACTCTATATATGCAAATGAATTTAAACGAGCCCATCGGCATGCATGAATTCTTCACAAACAATCAGACAGCATCCCAGGAGTACTCCCTAATTGTCATAGTTAACAAACTAGGAAACAACAAGAAAGCAAATGAAAAGCATATGTCTTTTTCCAAAGCCCCAGCAACTGCCCCAACAAATACTTGGAGCACTGCTTCCAACCAGCAAGGACAACCAGCTACAGCATCATCTCCCTTTAAGTCCTGAAACCCACGGCTTTGATCTAATTCTCAGAATGGTCAGCTCGACAAACATAAAATTTCCCGCATTCCTCCATTTTCACGGCTAGAAAACTTAGAAAAAACGGAAAAGGAAGAGAATTTGGTAACGATAGAAGGAACTACAAATGGGTTCACCACTCCTCATTCAAACAAATCCGCATCAATCGCCTTTATATCTGTCCAGCATTTCGCGGCTGGAGGGTTCAAATTAAGCGCATCGCAGGACATTCAAATGCATCTTTATCAGCAACCGACCGCAACACGACTCAAGTCGGCGCACTAACAACGCCATGAACGAAAGAAAGCGAAACCAGCTCTACCTCAAGTAGCAGGACGAATCACATAGAAGCGATCTGAACTCAGTGGAAAAGAAGTTAAAACTCGCCTAAGTTTCGCCTTCGCTGTCTTCGCCTTGTCCGATCAGTCCTCTGGAGATTTTCCCGAGAAAGCGACGGAGAAATTCCCGAGGGCGAGGCGGAATCGAAGCCGAATCACCATCCGCGAGAAAACGGAAGAGAAAATTTGAAGAAAGTTGGAAACTTGGCAGCAGAATTGAGCAAGCGGATTTGATATTTCACGTCATTCAGCGACACTCTCCCACTCGCATTTGAGCATTAAAATGTTTTTTTTTTAAAGAAAATGTAGAACTGGAAAAAGGCAAGGATATTTATTTTAATATAGAGATACGTGCACTAAAAATCTTAAAACTTATCACCTTCGCTCAAAATTTAAATAATATTTAAATAATAATAATAATAAATGCCATGTAAAATAGAGAAATTGATTGAAATATGCAATGTTAGCATTTTCCGTTAGAAAAATTGACGGTGTTAACTTTAGGACTCAATTGAATCAAGTTGACAAGTTTTAGGACTTGATTACACTTTTTACAAGTTTTAGGACTCAATTATACTTTGGTGATAAATTTTAGGACTTCTAGTGCACATATCCCTTTAATATATCATAAGCTTAAGTCCACGATTATAAGGGGCTAATGAATTATGCAAGATTTATGCAGTGTGTGATCAAATACACTTGACTAGAGTCTATAGAGGTGACAACGGACTAGTTTGCCTTGGTGTCAAAGATGGTAATTTCGACTTTCACTGGGCCTCGGGCCAGCCGAATCTGATCAAAGGTCGGATCCATGAATTACGAGGACTTGGAACAAGGCCAACTTGGCCAATTGGATGGCTTAATACGGCTTGCGAGCCTTACCAGATAACGAATTTTTCTCTAAATTAGCGATACCAACGTGAAATGAAAATACATTTCCATAGTTAAGTGAACATGAGTGGGCAAAGCCCGCCCAAACGCCATGCTCTTGCTTTGGACTTTGCCCAGCCCGCCCGATTGAACTCGACGGACGAAGAGCCCGACTTGCACAAGGTAAACTCGATGGAACAAGAAGTTCGAGTGGTGTCCATGATCAAAGTCCACGAAATTGGAAAAGAGAGGTTATAAAGAGATTTTTAGCAACAAAAACAAAAAGGTTATAAAGAGATTCAACCTAATATTACACCATCCAAAGTGTGATTTCTTAATGCAAAAGGTAATAGATGATCCAATACTATAGGATGTAAAGTGTGGATTCTTCAATAATTTTATAATTTGCTTGGTTATTCGTTATCTTTCGTGGAGAGTCGGATTCTCTAGGCATTAGAACATTTAATTATAGCGTCACCTCGCTTATACATGTTATTATAGCATATCTTATATACATGTAGTCATGTTTCACCTATTGACTTAAGCTTTCGGGTTGGATTTTTCATATGAGGTACCAAAATAAGAAATCTTGAGTTCAAATTTTTGCAAGCTCCTATTTGTATCCCTAATTTTGTATTTCCATGCTTCGTTCCTAAGCTCAAGTCTAGCAGTGTGAGGGGAAGTATTACAACATTTAGATGTAATTCGGCAAAATTTTACATTGGAAATAACGTTTTATCGACTTTATCGATCGAGCTAATCTTAATGCCGAAGCCATAGGTGTTGGAGGGCTTGAAGGCGACGAGAATGTATTTTGTACCTATAAACTTCTTTATACAAACTACAACAAAAAGGAAAGAGATGGACATTAGCATGGGAAGGTGAAATGGTGGAAGCTTTACTCCTTGTTGCCTTCATCGTAATTTGGAGGCAAACATGTACACTTATGGAAGGCAAAGAATAAAGAGTAGTAAACATATAACAAAAAAGACCCTAATGAAGGTTCGTCTTTATTTATTTTTCCTTAAATTGATTGTTTGGTTCTCAATTGAATCGATACACTTCGGGTTCAAAAGAAGCCGTAAATTGCTCTAAAATCGAACATGAACGATAATTTATTTGTTGAAATGCTCCAAGCATGCTCGGTCCTCGATCATTCATGGGCCGGACCATCAAGCAAAAGCACCAATTGAAGAGTTGGAAAACCTTTTATTGCGTCGAAAAAAACGATTGGCGCCTTCAAATTTGCCACGAGGCATGATGTAGCACAAGTCAAATATTGCCCCGTTCAGGAAGGAAAATGACTACGACGCCGAGAATATTTCCCGATGAAATATTGGATCATTTCCTCTTTCACTGCGTTATAGGCAATTCGAACAAGAACAATTTTAGGTAGGGGTGTGCAAAAGAACCGGGATCCGCCCGGACCGTCCGGAACCAGTGGTTCCCAAGGGAACCGGTCCGGTTCTCGGTTCCAATTTTTTGGAACCGATACTGTTTGGGCAGGTTCCCGGTTCCCGGTGTGGAACCACCCACCCGCCCACCCGGACTGGACCGGTAATATAATAATAATATATTTTATTTTTTAAAATTTTTAATTAAAAAAATATAACCAAAAAAATTTTTAAAAAAGAAGAAAATTTGTTATCATGTCTGAAGCTCTTGTGTAGTTGGGATACATTGGTCATTTTTCCCAATAATTAATGGGTACCCACTTGATTTATAGATGATGGGGTTAATATAATCGATATAGTGTAGGAATTGTATGAAAAGTTATGTTCTTTTCCTTTTGTTCTGTTGATCCGATATTGGTCCATAGATTTTTTTTTTTTATTTGTCTAGGAAAACTTGTTGAGACTGGTTCCATGGACCTGCCCAAGAACTGGACCAGACCGGCGGTCCGGTTCTCGGGCGGGTCCATGGAACCGACGGGCGGTTCTCTGTTCCAATTTTTGGAACCGGTCCTGTAGCGGACGGTCCACGGTTCCGGGGTAGGAACCGCCCGTCCGGACCATGCACACCCCTAGTTTTAGGACTTCCCGTGTCCAAAATAAACCCGCCTGCGTGGTTTGGTCCCTTTCTGCAAACTGATGAATCTATGTTTAGGCGCTCCCTAGAGACACTGATGGATTATTTCGTATCTCGCTAAGTTCCAAGCACGGGGAGGTGTGCCAACCGACAAGGTGCTCGAAGTAATAACCAAGGCCATGCCTAACGATCGGAGGTTGAAGAGCATCGGTGGCTACGTTTCCCATGAGTCCTTTGCGTTCACTCAACTATAAGAAATTGTGGATTCAAGTTGGCAAACATGAGAAGCAACTGAAGAAAGGTGGTGTCATCGTTTCCGAGTTTCTGGTTGTTTGTGTTCGAATGTAATTCAGAAGGGACCATATAAAAAAGTAATCAAGGTGATAACCGGTGATTCAAGGTTGTAAGATATTAAGCTCAAATTCGGTTATCTCGTTGCGCTCTGACGAACTCAAAGAAGTGGTCAATTCAAGTTGGTAGACCCGAGCTCGAGATATCTCCAAGATTCTCTCATATTTTTCATCGTTTCCGAGTTTTTGGTTGTTGTGTTTGAATGTAATTCAGAAGGGATTATATAAAAACTGACCATGCTTCTATAGTTTGCCTTTTCTCGGGAAAAGAACACTACAAGTGCTATAATTTCTTATGACGCTCACTTTGGTGCCAAAACTTTTTTCCAGATCACTTAAGTACCACTTTGAATATAAAAAAAAAACGATAACTTAAGGCTCCGTTCGTTTGGCGGAAAATATTCTCCCGGAAAATATTTTCCGGGTTTTCCGGTGTTTGGGAGGCGGAAAACGTTTTCCGTGGGAAAATATTTTCCTTCCCCCCCTCACAAAATAGCCTAAGTCTACGGAAAATGACTTCCGCTTCTTCAAAAGCGGAAATCATTTTCCGAGCATCTTCTTCGTCTTCTTCACTAAGGTCGCCGGTTGCGCCGCCGCCGCCGGTCGCCGGCCGCTGCCGCCACCGGTCGCCGCGGCCACCGCCGGTCGCCGGCCGGCGCCGCCGGTTGCCGCCGCCGGTGCGTCGGCCGCCGCCGCGGTCGTCGGCCGCCGCCACCGCCGGCCGCCGATCGCTGCCGTCGATGCCGATCGCCGGCCGCCGCCGATCGCCGGCCGCCGCGCGCCGTCGCCGTCGGATGCCGGACGTTGGCCGTCGGTCGCCGGCCGCCGCCACCGGGACGCCGGACGTTGGCCGTCGGTCGCCGCCCCGCCGCCGCCGCCGCCGGGCGCCGCCGCCGCCGGACGGCGCCGCCGCCGCGGACGGGCGCGGGCTGCCGCCGGACGCCGCCGCCGGACGCCGCCGCGGTCGCCGGCGAAAAATATTTTCCGAAACTTTTTCATATTGGTGGCCGAACACCGGAAAATTATGTTCGGGAAAATATTTTCCAGGAAAATGACTTAGGAAAATATTTTCCAAAAGGAGAATATTTTCTGCCAAACGAACGGAGCCTAAGTGTCAACTCCAATTTGAGACGTCGAAAATCTGACATGACAATATTTTATCATTTTTTTTCGAATCGATGTGGCTAGCCGGTAACTTGACTCAACATCTGTACCCAAGAGCTTGAGAAAGACGAAGACCAAACCAAGAGAAATGATGTCGTTTGGTTAAACAGAAGAGAGAGAGCCAGGATTTCCAAGTTGGCTTTTCCTTTTCATCATAAAGCCACGTAATTATATATAATTAGTTTAAATAATGACGTTGGAATAAACATTTAATAACAAATACCACATAGGACTTTTGGCCAAAACTTGTCGACAGAGGCACTTAAGTGACCGTTTTTTTTTCAATTTGGCACTTGAATGATCTGGCGAAAAGTTTTGCAATCAAAATGATGTACAAAAGTTATGGCACTTGTAATATTCTTTTCTCCCTCCTAATAAATTATGTTGAGAAGAAACTAAATGCCACGGCTCGTGCACACAATAAATGTGTGTGTGGATTTTTCATATAATTAATAATCTCCGTGGTTCATAACACTCAGTAGCTTCAGGGAAGATGGAGTCTCGTAACAAACAGCATTTAACATGAAATCTGCATGCTTGTGTCTCAGGATTCG